GGAGCCATGGTCGAAGGCTGGATTCATTGTTTTGAGACAGGGTCCCCCTGTAGCCCTAGCTAGCTTGGAACTTGCTATTGGCCTTGAACTCACAGAGATCCACCTGCCCCTGCCTCCCAAGTGCCAGGATCAAAGGCGTGAGCCACGAGGCCCAGCCGCCTAGTTTTTTAAAATTCCTAGAAAGTAGGAACAGGCCTTATTCCTTTCTTATCTTCTTAGAACAAACAATGGCTTGAAAAATACAAAGACAAAAGTAACAAACTTTTTAGTGCATCTTTACAGTGATTTGAGTTCCTCAGTATTGCTATAAAATCAGAACAGGTAAAATTGATGTTTGCCAATAGTTACTTTGAGGCCCATGCAGGTACCATAGATAATAGAATCAAAAGAATGTGGTGTCAGCATATGAACTCAGGTCTTTTGCTTTTAAAGTCTAGCCCTTGTTCCCTTCAATCATTATGCTGTTTGTGCTTGAGACAGGGTCTTGCTGTGTAGTCCAAGGTATCACTGAACCCACAATCCTCTTACCTCAGCCTCCTGAGTGCTGGGATTGCAGTTGTTACCCCCATATCCACCTGCAGTCATAATACATTCATGAGGGGTTTTGCCATTTGTTTAGTATGATTTGTTTGGTTGCTTAGTCAAATGAGTGTGAATGAGTTCATTGATCTTACAGCGTTTTGCATTTTTAGGCAACTTGGATTAATTAGGAGAAAGTCATTTGCACTAGCAAATGGAAATCTAGGAAGAAGCAGATCCAGTAAGTAGTGTGTTTACCTTCTTTACATTTTGAAGCCTTGTACTTTGAACTGGCAAAGCATAAGAACTCTGGTCTTTTGCAGAACAGTTGTATGACTACTTGATTGTCATTGATTTTGAGTCTACATGCTGGAATGATGGGAAGCACCACAGTAGCCCAGAAATAAGTAAGTCAGGACTGCCAACGACAAGAGCTAGTACTAGATGAGTCCTTTGGAAGTTTATAGCTATGAACAGCCAATAGTTTAAGAAAACAAGATATCTATAAATTGGTACTTTAATGTAAAAACTATCTTGCCTAAAAAAGAAAAATAAAATCCCAAGTACTAAAATATCATTATATAAAGTAGTTGTTTTTTATTTTTATTTCATATAATTTTTAAATTTTACGTGTATGAATGTTTTGCCTGCATGTAAGTGCACCTTCTGTGTGCAATGCCCACAGAAGCCAGAAGAGGGTGTTGGATCCATAACCAGAGTTATGGACTACCACGTGGGTTCTGGGAACTGAACATGGGTCCTCTGCTAGAAAATCCAGTGCTCTTAACCACTGAGCCATCTCTCCTGCCCCATAAAGTTGTTTTAAGAATCTATTTAAAACCTTAATTTGTTAGAAACTGGAAAAAAAAATGGTTTTTCAGTAAAGAAGTACATGTTAATTTTCATGCTGTCTAAGTATTTATTTGTGAAACCAAATATAACTTCAATATTTTGACCTTTTGCATAGCTTTATTATAACATCACACTGCCTTGGTCATTCTAATAGGCTTTTACTTAAATTTTTTAGTAATTTTATGAAAGCAGTGTATGTTTAGGGTGATTGCAGCTTTGACTTAAAACATATATTGAAGTGTTAATCAATGATTATTTTATTTAGTTGAATTCCCAGCAGTTTTGTTAAATGCGTCAACTGGAGAGATTGAATCTGAATTTCATGCTTATGTTCAGCCTCAAGAACATCCGACTCTTTCTGAGTTCTGTATGGAACTGACAGGAATAAAGCAGGTATGCAAACTTTAAAGTTCCAAAATCAGTTTCCGAAAGAAAGTAAAAGCTATTTGCCACTCAGAATTAGATTTATTCAGTGTTAGGAGAAATAATGTTCCTTCCAAAAGTCCACTAGTATCTTTCAAAATCAGTCCAGTATTGTAAACATAAAAATGAGGCCTGGGATTATAGCTCAGTATGAGAGTACTTGCCTGGGATACATGAGGCCCAGGGTTTGCGTGCCTGTGAGGGTGGGGGATTGTCAGATTATTTTATGGAAATAATGAAATTCAACAGTGTCTTTTTAAAATTTCTGTGAGACTGGACTTAAAAATTGTATTTCTGTGTGATTTTAGACTTATTGTCTAGTTTTTCTCACTTTGGTGAATTCAAAGCATTGCAGTCTTTTTCTCCTGTACATTTTAACATCTTTTTTTACTAGTTAGGCTCTTTGCCAGTCAGAATCTCTTTGCATAGTTATAATAAATGCTCAGTGGCTATGAAGTTCATTTATTCAATTCAGATTTTGTGTCGTTCTAATCAGGCTCAAATTGATGAAGGCGTCCCTCTGAAGATTTGCTTATCTCAGTTCTGTAAATGGATTCATAGGATTCAGCAGCAGAAGAAAATCATTTTTGCTGCTGAGGCTTCAGAGCCCACTACTTCTGAAGTAAAATTATGTGCATTTGTTACTTGGTCAGGTAAAAACCCGAGTTATAACTCGCCTATCACTCACAAACGGAGCATCGGGCTGAGGAGATGGCTCAGTAGATAAAGCACTTGCCACACAAGCGTGAGGACTGGCATTAGAATCCCTAGAACCCACATAAAAGCGGCCTGGGCACTGCAGCCATCTAGACAAGGAATCCCAGGAGCAGGCTGGCTGGCCAGCTGGCTGAAAGAGTAAGCTCTGGGTTCAGTGAGAAGGCCTATCTCAGTTTAAGAAGTGGGAAACACTACATACCTGATGTCAGCCTTGGGCCTCCACAAGCACGCCCACAAACGTGCACGTGCACACATACACTACACACATATATATGCAAAAATAGGTTTTGGTAGCACTACCCCTGTTTAGTCCTTTATTTCTAGTTTTAGTCTTGTTAATCTAGAATTATACTTACTGAATTTAATGAACCAGGAAAAGAAAATCAAGGGCCTCACAGATACTAAGAAAGGTAAATTCATTCATACTTTTAAAATCATGATTCTGGGTTACCTTAAAATTTTAAAGTTTAAAGTTTACCTTTAAGTATCTGAGTTGGATGCAATGGCACATGTCTGTAATCTAAACTACATGGGAAGCTAAGGCAAAAGAATTGCTTGATCCGAGGAGTTTGAAGCTCATCTGAGCAACATAGCAAGACCTTGCCTTGGAAGGAAACAGGACTGGAGAGATGGCTCAGTTGAGAGCACTGACTGCTCTGGCAGAGAACCCAGATTTGGTCCTCACAACCATCTGTAACTTCAGTTCAAGGGGATCCGACTTCCTCTTCTGACCTTCGCAGGCATTGCACTCATGTGGTGCACTTACATACATGCACACAAAGCACTCATGCACATAAAAATCAATAATTAAAAAACAGCCAGGAATGGTAGTGCATGTCTCTAATCCCAGCGCTCGGAAGAGAGGCAAGCAGACTTCTGTGAGTTCAAGGCCAGCCTGATCTACATAGTGAGTTCCAGGCCAGTTGGGGCTACAGGGAGACCCTGTCTCAAACAAAACCAAGCCAGGTGTGGTGGCACATGCCTTTATTCCCAGCACTTGGGAGGCAGAGGGAGGTAGCTCTCTGAGATCAAGGCCATTCTGGACTACATAGACTTCCAGGCTAGCTGGGGCTACAGGGAGATCCTGTCTCAAAAGAAAAAAGAAAAGAATGTAAGAATGTTTGTGAACGTTCTCTGCTCTTCTCAATTCATGCAAAAAAAAAAAAAAAAAAAAAAAAATCCTTCATTGATTGTTCTTATGCTATTTTCTATATCCTTGAATAAAAGTCTTCATTCAGCTCACAGTGTTTGCTTTTGTGCTTTGATACTAATCTAGGATATTAAGATGGGAAAAAAATGAACCATCTTTAGAGTTGAACCCTTGATAGTATAGATTGTCATATTTGGCTTTAAATTGCTATAGAATGTATCATTTTTCAATTATGTTAGGATTTACCTAAAATATAGGAAATACAGGCTCTGAAATTTAACACATTTCTTTCTGAAATAGGGTTTTGGATGTTTAAGAAATCATTTTGAAAGCTGGGTATGGTGGCATGTGCTTCTAACTTCAACACTGGTGAGGCAGAGACATGAATCCTTGGGGTTCCATAGCCAGCCAGCCAGCCTTGCCTAATCGGTGAGCTCCAGACCAATAAGAGAATCTGTCTTAAGATGGATGGTGCCCAAGTAATGGAACTCGAGGCTGTCCTTAGACTTCCACATGTACACTCATACATGTATGTACTCACTCATATGCACTCACCCTCACACATACACAAAAACATTTTTTTAGTTATTTTTATTTTATGTATATGAGTGTATTGCCTGCATGTATGTAAGTACACCTGTGTCATGTAGTGCCCACAGAGATCAGAAGAGAATGTCAAATTCCCCCAGAACTGGAGTTAAGGATAGCTGTTAGCTACCATGTGGGTGCTGGGAATCAAACCTGGGTCCTCTTCAAGAGCAGCCAGTGCTCTTAACCGCTGACCCATCTCTTCAGTCCTACACAAAAGCATGTTGAGATGTAGTTACCAACATAATTTCTTAATAGTTATATAAGGTATAAAATAAAATATATGTCAGTTATTAGCAGAGCATTTAAATATTACTGCTCTATTTTATATCATCTTCCGTATTTCATTTATAAGTGGTAAAGTATTGCCATCACTGACTTTCTGTTTTAATATGCTTAATGCAGACTGGGACCTGGGGGTCTGCCTGGAATATGAGTGTAGAAGAAAACAGCTGCTAAAACCTGTGTTCTTAAGTTCTTGGATTGACCTGAGAGCAACTTACAAGGTAGGAGTGGAAGTGGGAGGCTGCCACTTTCTTCATCATGTTTTATCTCTATAGGTTTACACAAATAAGGTATTTTTGAATGTTCCCATAAATATATATCTTAAATTTTTAAAGCAGCACAGTAAATACATTTCAAATCTGATAGAACTAAAAATTTCACAAAATAGTTTCATGGTCTTTAAAATGATCATTGTATTTTTAAATACCTTTTTTTTTTTTTAATTTGATTAGCTTTTCTATAAAAGAAAACCCAAAGGACTAAGTGGTGCGTTACAAGAAGTGGGGATAGAATTCTCAGGACGAGAACATTCTGGTTTGTATAAACTGATAATCATTTTATTATGTAAGTCATCTGGTTTTTGTAAAATCATATTAGTCTCATTAGGGAGTAGTGTCGTTAATAAGGAATATCTTTTAGCCTAAAAAATGTTCCTAATGTATATAATTCAAATTATTTCTGATTATTGAATAACCAGTTTCATGGATTTAAATAAAGATTGCCATCTAGTGACTTTCTAGTTGGTTAAGAAAAAAACATTGAAATAATTAGCTACATCAAATAAGAGACAGTGCCCAAATAATACAGCGTACTGCTGACAAAAAGTGAACACAAGTATTTTTACTCACAAATTTTCGTATCCTGTGTAAGCAAATACAAGAGATCTTGTCTTTCATTGGTAATGCTGTCACAACTTTCCACAAGACCAATTCATTGTGATTAAATTAGTAGGTGATCATAAAACTAGCAATATGCCCTGATTTCTATTTAAATGGTGATTTGTTCTCTATTATTTCTTTCCACAGGGTTAGATGATTCTCGGAATACTGCTCTTCTTGCTTGGAAAATGATTAGGGATGGTTGCCTAATGAAAATTACAAAGTCCTTCAGCAAGGTTAGTGGTGTCTTTTGTGTTGTATTTTGAAATGGGGTCTCACTCTGTAGACCAGGCTGGCCTTGAACTCACAGAGATCCACCTGCCTCTGCCTCCCGAGTGCTGGGATTAAAGGCGTGCGCCACCATGTCTGGCTAGTTAGTGGTGTTGTGCCTCTTTTTTCTTAATCATTTCAGACTCCAGAGTAGTAGATATTCATTGAAATGTGGATTTCATGTGTGTGATCATTTATAAGTTAGTGGTGTTGTGCCTCATTTTTCTTAATCATTTCAGACTCTGGAGTAGTAGATATTCATTGAAATGTGGATTTCATGTGTGTGATCATTTATAAACCATTGACATTTTTTTTGTCATATATAATGTCTACTGAAGAAATTATAAATACAGTTTCTATGTGGAATCATAGGTTCCCATTAAGAAGAATCCCAACACTTTGACCAGAAATCTGAGTACAAATCAAGTTGAAGCAACATCTGCCTGCAACAGTAGCATTCAGAGTCCCAGCATATATCAAAAGGAGTCTAAAGGTACAGTAACTACTCATGAAAAAGTTCAGATGAATTCAGTTTTTGTGACTTCTATAAAGAAGGAGTTACAAGCAAAGAGCAGTATGAAAACAGCTCCTCACACTGTCATGAGTTGCTTACGTCTTTGTACTACGAAGCCCTCTACTTCTGTGGGACAGTTATCTCCTACCTTGAATTCACCTCTCTATATGCAGAAGCAAAGAAAAAGTGAACAGCTTGCATTGAATGCTGATTTAAAGTCTTCAGTGTTTGGTTCCAACTTGGTACTTATGTCTACGACCATTCCATCTGTTAATCATGTTTCTGATGCAGAAATCAGTTGTGCCCATGACTGCCTACCTATGCTGACTGATTGGGAAGATGGAGTTTTACTTCCAGTATCTCAGGATGAGCAAGATACAGATTGTATGCCTCCTGTTAGTGACACAAACTTAGATAATTCATTTAATTCTGAAGGAAGACTGGTGGTTTTAAAAGACTCAGAAATGCCAAGTAACGAAAACTTTGGAGGACTTGAAACTCCTCTTAGTGACACAAACTTAGCTAATTCATTTAATTCTGAAGAAAGACCAGTGGTTTTAAAAAACTTAGAAATGCAAAGTCATGAAAACTTTGGAGGACTTGAAACTCCTCAAAAAATTGAGACTTCTAAGTCTATCATGTATAAGAGTCCCCACACTACAATTTACAATGTAAAAGAAGCCAAACATCCAAGTTTGGATGTTTCTACTTTTAAGTTACCTGAATGCAAATTATTTACCTTTGACAGTGTTAATGCCAGAGCATTGCATCCTTCAGATTTTAGGAAACAGCCTCCTCTTTTATGTGGTGCTAAAAGGAATTCCCCTAGTCTCCCAGCTTCCCCCCCAGCAAAAAAGCAGACCTTCACTATTCATGAAGAAAAGCCTACGTCATCTGATTGCTCCCCAGCAAGTTCTTCCCGGAAAGTTCTTCCCTCTGTATTAACTTCTGCGGTTAATCTACAAGAGCCTTGGAAGTGGGGGAAGTTGACACCTCCCTTATGCAAGTGTGGCCGAAGATCTAAGAGGCTTACAGTTTCTAATAATGGACCAAACCATGGAAAAGCCTTCTATTGTTGCCCTGTTGGGAAATACGAAGAAAACAGAAAATGCTGTGGTTATTTTAAGTGGGAACAAACACTGCAAAAGGAAAGAGCCAACAGCACAGCTCTATCTCATTGCACAGGAGGACTCACTTTTAGTTCTCCAGAAACAAGCCATATTAATGGCAGAAATTTAAGTTTTTCAACTAAAAATTTTTTGCGACTCAGACCTTCAATGAGAAATTAATGAACTTTTTTCTAAATAATATTTTTACTTTTAGTATAACCTTTATAGGGTTTTTAGTGCAGGAATGATAAAAAACATAGGACTTCAAGTTATGGAGACTTAGCCTGTAGCTACACTGAAGCAGTTCACACAAACACAGGCACACAGGCGAACAAACAGAAAAGGAAAGTCAGTTTCAAAACTTTGCACTTTGAGTAGTGTGTAACATCTGTCCGCTGCTGGTCATGTATGAATCCTCATTGTTAAACGCCGTAACATGAGTGTTTTGGTAATGTCTTACATAATTGTATTTATATTTCATATATTTGCTGAATTTATCAAACTCATAAGGAACCACAAGTAAAATATTTTTATAAACTATATTTAATAAGCAACAATAGTACATGACCTCTGTCTTTTGTAGTTCGACCTTGAAACAAGTTTTGAACTAAATTATTTGAATAAATTGGATAAACATATAACTAATAAGTCCCTAGTCAACTTTTAGATAAATATTCTAAGAATTAATAATCTTCCTACTGATATTTTTTAGCTTTCTAAGAACTTGCAAGGAACTTAGCCTTTTTGTTCATGGCTTAAAGATTGATTCTGGTTTGTTTATCAACCTACTGAAATTGCTCAAGTAAGTTTTGAAAACCAGTGGGGCAGAGATTTGCTTCAGAAACTGCTTCTAAAACATTTTAAAGTGTCTCCGCAACTGATGATTCTCTTTATGTTAGCAGTTCAGAAGAACAGTGACATTAATGCCGAAGAATTCACAATTTGAGTTCAAAAGCCATCCTCTGATGTCAAAACTACAAAATATTTTAAATTCCATTTAGAAGCAAGCTTGTTCCGTCAGATTTCTACCAGTTTGTTTTATAGTTGCTAGGGCAGTTAGTGGGAAGAATTTAAACTGTTTTCCATTCTTTCTTCCTCAGTTCATTTCTTTTTACCTTCCCACTCACAGTCTTTGGTAGCTCTTCAATGAATTCTACCTGTTGGTATTAAGGAGAAGAAAATTAGTATTTTTAAGTTTTGCCAAAATATAATAGTTCTATTATGAATTTTAGGTGAATGAATGGCAGCCAATAAGGGATAAGTGAATTGCTGAATTTTTTCTTTATATTTATTATTTATACAAGTCCAGTGAACTAATTGACCAAATTATGTTAGGGGCTTCAGTTTAATCCCCAAATTTCTGATTCTTACCTATATGTCACTAGTTCTTTTTGGAACATCTTGTATAGCATATTTGAGGAGAAAGGACATTAAAAAGTAAAAACATAAAGAGCTGAAAAATTTCTGAAACATTGAATAAGCATTTGTTATAACAAGGACGCCTACCTTCCTGGGGTATTTGTAAGGTGCGGTAGTCTTTTTCACATGCTCCTGAATCTCCTTCTTCAGTTGTTCCTGATCATGTGACTTGTAATCAGTGTTCAGAACAATAAAAGCCTTTACTACCTAAAATAAATGTTTAGGACATCAGAAAGATTTTTAAAAATATTTTATTATTTGTATTTTATGTGTATGAGTGTATTGCCTGCACATACGTGAGTGCACCCATGCAATGCCTGCAGAGGTCAGAAGGCATCAGATCCCCTGGAACTGGAGCTACAGATGGTTGTTAACCACCATTGGGTGCTGGGAATTGAACCCGGGTCCTCTGCAAGAGCAGTCAGTGCTCTTAACTGCTGAGCCATCTCTCCAGTCCCCCATCAGAAAGATTTTTATGTCATAGTATTCCTTATTTGCTTTCTCCAACTGGGAATCTGTGTGCCTGGTGATGAGCAGGGTGGGGGTTAATAGCCTTTTATCCCAGCTCCAGGCTCTTCAGCCACACAGGTGATTCCCATGCCTCCTAGGCGGTGTTGGGGTCCTCCTTTGCTTAGGATCACTCTTGAGCCCTCATCTGCATTTTGAAATGTGTTTTCTGATTTGTGTCTGATTACTTGTGTCCTTACCTGTGTCTGATTACCTCTGTCCTTCTTGCCTTCTCTTTTCACTTTAGTAAAATTTCCTCTTGAAAACTTGGCAGTGCACCACATACAGCCCCCTTTGCAGCAGCCCAGCTTCTAGGCCCCTACTCTCAGCACAGAGCTCATAGACAGTAGTCACACTGGGCTTGGCACACTCTCACTGATGGGAACAGCTCACTGAGACCATGTATCCTTTTTGTTTTGTGACAGGATCTGGTTATGTACCTCAGGCTAACTTTAAACTTACTAGCAATTCTCCCTGAGTCCTAGGATTACACTACACTTGGAGGATTTTTAAAATTTTTCCCGGTACTGAGGGTTGTATCTAGTGCCTTTGCATGCTAGACAGGCCCTCTCCCACTGAGCACTGAGCTACTCCCCCAGCCCTTCCGTACATATTTTTGGTTTTGTTTGTCTTTTTGTGACAGGGTCTCCCTGTAGCCCCAGCTGGCCTGGAACTCACTGTGTAAACCAGGCTGGCTTCGAACTCACAGAGATCCACCTGTCTCTGCCTCCTAAGCACTGGGGTTAAAGGCGTGCGCTACCACGCCCAGCTCCCCATATATGGTTTATACAAGGCTATAATGATTCCATTATCCACTTTGCTATTGTTCTGACCCACTTACATGACCCTGAGGAGCTAGAATAGAAATGATGATGGCCTTTGTCATACTCACAAATTCTCTTTGATAAAGTTCATTCTTCTCGGGACTGCTTTGGGAAATCCTGCCTAGGGTTTTGGTACCTTTAATGGAGAAACCAGGATAGGCCAAGCCTTATGTGTAGCCCCCTTCAAGAGTTAGTTCAGGGCCCTGTCTAATCTTTCCTGGGGTACTGTCAGCTCTGTCATTTACTGCTTCCCCTGGATGCATAACTCTAGGTGAGGCAATTAGTACTTAGCACCACCAAATCCAGATTCCCAGCGTGAGCTTTGTCATATGCCCTACAGACACAGTCCAGGAGAGTCCCCTGCAACTCTTTTGATTAAATACCTGAAACTTAGAGAACTGGATTCTTATTAAATTCACTTCCCATGCACCTTAATCTAAAAGGAAAGACATGATCAAAAATTTGAAACAATAAATCAGAAAATCCATTTTGTGAGCTCTGAAGACTTGGAACTCTTAAGTTTTCACATCGAAAATTATTTAATACTGGGCATTTTTATAACATTTTTATTTTACATATTTGAGTGTTTCGCCTGTATGAATGTAGGTGCACCACATGCGTGCAGTGTCTACAGAGGCCAGAAGAGATTGTTGGATTCTGTGGAACTGGAGTTACAGGTGATTGTTAGCTACTGTGTGAGTGCTGGGAACTGAACCTGTGAGAGCAGCCAGTGCTCTTAACCACTGAGCCCATTTCTCTAGCCCCAACATCTTTATTAATTTAAAAAATTGCCTTTGCTATAAGTAGATTGTTCAAAGGCGAATTATTTAAAAAATCATTTGTAGACATTGGAGCACATATTTTTTTTTATACTTTGAAAAAAGTATGCTTTATCTTCCTGCAAGTCTTTATAAACCATAGCAAAAGTATAAGAAGTTAGTGTTTGGGTTTTGGGAGTTTTCTTAACCTTTGCTTTGGTATATTTTAAAAACTTAAAAATTCATTATTTGAGGCTAGCAAGATGGCACAGAGGTAAAGGTTTGCTGCCAAGACTGGCAATCTGAGTTCAAACCCTGGGCCCCATATGGCAGGACAGAACTGACTTCTGCAAGTTCTTCTCTAACCTCTACATGAGCACTGCATACATGCACACACACATGGTAAATAAATGTAATATTTTAAAAGTTCATTATATAGGCTACTAAGTTTCTCTGAATTTTTATACAAAATTTTGGATTTTTCTCAGAGGTGTCTATGGCTCTGCCATTTAGTTCAGCAGCCACTAGCAACATGTGGCTATTTAAATTTCTTTAATCAAGATAGACCATATTTCATGTGACTAATAACTGTTTGCAGTTATTGTTATTGTATAAGAGAATGCTGGTGAAGAAAGTTTCTGTCATTGCATAAGTCCATTGTAAGACACTGAACTTTTGAAGTATTGGAATTTAAGTTTATTTGTATTTTTAAATATGTATGAATGTTTTCCCTACATGGAAGTGTACCACATGTGTGTACTTTATGAAGGCTGTGGGACTTTAAAAATTATATTTTGAGGCTAGAGAGATGGCTTAGTGGTTAAAAGTGTGTATGGCTCTTCCAGTGGACCTGAGTTTTGGTTCCTAGCACCCCACGTTGGTGAGGAATTGTTTCGATTGATGATTGACGTGAGAGGGTTTCACTATCCCTAGGCAAGTAGGCCTGGGCTGTACAAGAAAACTACCAGAGAGCGATCCAGTAAGCAGCATTCGTCCATGGTTTCTGCTTCAGTTTCTGCTTGCTGTCCTGCCCTGGCTTCCTTCAGTGATGGGCTGTTAACCTGACAGTATGAGCCAACTAAACCCTTTCCTCCCCTAGCTGCATTTTGTCAGTGTTTTATCACAGCAGCAAAAAAGCAAACTAGAGCACCTGCTTAAAGATCTCACTGGGATACCTGACTGCCGAATCAACCCCGGTCCTAAAGGCCCCACAACCACACTGTCACAAATAAGCACTTGTCTGGGTGGATAAAACTGATGACAGCATCAAGGTGTGAAAAGAGCTAAGAGTTGGGGGCTGGAGAGATGACTCAGTGGCTAAGAGAAGAGCTGAGAGTAATGAAACCCTGTGAGTTGAGTTCAGTGAAGGGACAAACCTCAAAAACTTATCTGCTCCCTCCTCTCCTGAAATACTCCCTTTCACAGTACCTAAGCGTTCTCATCCTAGCAACTTTCCAAACTAGCAAACATAAGCCACACTGCTCAATATCTAAAACAACCTTCGGTCATCCAGGACAGCAATAGGTTATCCTCTAGTATCAAAGATCATTTAGGAAAAGTCTTGGAAGAAAGCCATCCTTGTTGGCAACGTTAATGAACAAAGTAATTCTTTTTCAGTGAAGTACTGTTGAAGTGTTTAGGACCTGTGGAGGTGGTTCAGTGGGTAAAGTGCTTGCTGCTCAAGTATGAGGACCTGAGTTTGAATCCCCAGCACCCACACAAAAGCCAAGCATGGCTGCACACGTCTGTGACCCCAGTGCTGAGGGTACAAAGACAGGTGGATTCTGCCAACCAGCCCAGCCTAAATGGTGAGTTCCAGGTTCAGTGAGAGACCATGTCTCAAGGAATTAATGTGAAGAGACAGGAAGATACCCACATGCAGCTGCATGGGGAACTCACACATGCATACATGCATTTAACACGCATCCACAAAACAGATGAATAAAGTACATGTTGAGATGACCAGTGAAATAAAAAGTTGAGATGAGTCAGTTCCTTTTACCTCTCCTCTGATGGGGTCTGGGCTGCTGACAACAGCTGACTCTGCAACTGAAGGGTGTTCTATCAGGGCGCTTTCTACCTCAAATGGTCCAATTCGGTAACTAAGAAAGCATATGACAGGAATTTATAAGAGTGAGGCATAGGTTCATTCCAGAATGCCTGATGATCAGTTAACACAGACATGCACAGATGGAAAGGAAAATTACCCAGAGGATAGTATGATATCATCTGATCTTGCAACAAACCAGAAATAACCATCTTCATCCATATACCCTCTGTCTCCTGTGATGTAGAAATTTCCCCGGAGAGTTGAAGCTGTTTTTGAGGGATTATCCTGAAAATAAAAAAACAAACCCGCATTTCGTCAATATTATGAATGGATGAATGGGACTCTTCCATCCAGTCAAATATTTAAATGTTCAAAGAAAATGAAATGTTTCTTTTGAGAAACCAGAATGAAGAGGAGCAAGAGTGTGAATCAGAAATCAAATCCCAGCATGGAGCTAGCCCAGTATGAGAAAGGTAGACTGTAGAAACAAAGGGTAGTCGCAACTCCTGGCAAATTTTCTTAAGATGATAAGATAAATGTTGCAGCATCTGGGAACTCTGAAGAATAGGCAGAATTAAGTCTTTCTAATTAATACCTCACATTGGAAGGAAAAAAGAAGGTTGAAAGAAAGCACCAGTGCTTGATAATTCAGAGCAGACACGTTCTTTGATTTGGTTTGCTTTTACAGAAAGAGAACCAGTTTCGTAACTCTGGCATGAGAAGGAAAATGCAGAATTGCCATTCTGCAGTTCACTGGCAAGTAAGATCTGGACCTCATTATGTTGATAAGACACTTTGCCCTAAATTGTACACCTTGATTAGAGGTAAGAAAGCTTGTAGCAGGATGAATTTACTTACTCCCCTTGCCCCATTCCTTGTTTCTCCAGTTCCTCTGGAGAAGGGGGAGAACTAATGAGATGTCAGGAAAGTGAGTAGGCGCTGTTTGCTGGTTAAAAGGATCGATGAACGTTGAGAAGACACGGATATAGGAACCTCTGTTTATGGTCCCCTTCCTTTTGCCTTCATGGAACCCAGGGGAAGAAAGGCACCACTGTGCTCTTGGCAAGTACATGTCTTCTGTCTGTAGGGTTATTATTCCGCAAAATGAATCAAGAAAGGACCAAGTTCCTCCCTTAGGTTTGTTTTGTGAAAATGGCATTAGTTACCAAAGCCCTTTTTTGGAGATGGTATTCCTGGCTGGCTTCAAACTTTCTGTATATAGTAACCAAGGATGACCTTGAACTTGTGACCCTCTTGCCTCCATCTCCTAAATCCTGGGGTTACAAGCCTGCATCGCTACACACAGTTTATGCAGTGATCAAGCCCAGGGCTTGTGCATCCTAGGCAAGCACTCTAATGACTGTATCCAAGCTACCAAACACTTTTAAGGAATAAATGGAAAATAGAGTTTTTAAAATAAATCTCTTACTATATAATGAGTGAAAAGGCCAAATGGTCGGTCAGGTAGAACTTGAATACCAATATCCCCTTCTTGTCCAGGAGGAAGAGCAGTGCCATTTTCATCTAAAATCTAGAATAAAAATAAAACAATTTATTTCAAGATTTTTTAATTTAATGCCACACACATAATTTTAACTTTGCATGGTTTTATTTTGTTTTTTGTTTTTTTTTCCCAGAGTGTAGACTTAAACATTTTAAGGACTGGAGAGATACCTCAGTGGTTAAGAGCACTAGTTGCTCTCACAGAGGACCTGAGTTTGGTTCCTGGCACCCACATGGCAGCTAACTACCACCCATACCTCTAGTTCCAGGGGATTTGATGCTCCCTTCTGGCCATTATGGGCATTGCACACATGTGGTACACCTACATACATGCAGGCAAAACACTCATGCACATAATAAGAGAGTATTAGGCTAACATTTCTCTCCTTGCATAGAAATTAGGGTAAGAAACATGGAATCATCACCAAAACTAGGAGTGTGGATAAGTGTAGATAGGAAACAGGTTGGGTTGTTAAACACTCTCCTGGAAGGGGATGTGCAAACCTTCACATCAAAAGCAGGAGAAGGCTTTCCCATTGAGCCAGGCTTCATTTTCATTCCCTTGAAATTTCCACAGATTAGCACCTTGTTAAGGAGAAGAAGAAACATAAGGGGTATTATAAGTAACAAAATATTACTTATTCATCATGTACTCATTCAACAAAGAACTTAGCTATGAACAAGATTCAGCATAAAACCCATTAAAAAAATCTCTGTTCTCATTGGGTATAGAAATTGACAAGTTACCACTATACATGATAAAGACATAAAACAAAAATTCATACTTTCTAAAATATCCATATTTAAAAAAATATGAGTATTAATATTAACATTTGAACTTAGACTAATACAATGGCTATTGTGCTGATTGTCTTTAAATGATTTGTCAGGTTTTAGCACCATGGTTATTATTCTGGCTGTATTTAAGTGATTTGTCAATTTTTGTTGTTATTTAATTTTGGAATTTCAAATTTTGACCCAGTAATAATTCTGAGGGTTTATAAGTCCAAGCCTTATAAAGACACATTGTGAAAACTTTTTCAACTTTTCCCATATCTGTTCCATCTTAGTCCTCCTTCTGGTACAAAATAACCACTATGTTATTATTTTATAAAATTTTCTCTAGAACTCTACTGTTGGTGGTGGTGCTGAGGATTGAACTCAGAGCCTTGCATGTGCTAGCAAAGTGCTCTGTCATTGAGCTACAACCCCCTAGAATTTCTTATCTCCATAAACCCTTTAAAGAACCCATTTTATTTTAATTTATTATTTATGCATTCGTTTATTTAGATGGTGGCTCATGTAGCCCAGATCTTAAATTTACTATGTAGGTGAGGATGACCTTGAACTTGATCCTCCTCCTTCTACCTTCACAGTCCTAGGATTACAGGTGTGCACCACCATGCCCAGGTTACGTAGTGTTGGGAATTGATCCCAGGAGGTCAGGCATGCAGGCAAGCAAGCACTCTACTAACTGGGCTAAAGAACCCCTTTTGGAGACTTCTTGTTGAGAAGGTGTCCAGCAGACTTAATATTTCAGGAAATAAGGAGCTCAGTCACAGCTTTCTTTTATGGCGGTCCTAAGTTCCTTATCACATAGATCCAATTTTTTTTTCATTAAAAATACTGGACTGTCCTCACCCTGACCAATGAATAGTAGTTTTTCTCTTAAAATTACTGGTCATCGCCTCTGCTCTTGGTTACCTCCAGAACATCACAGTAAGACCCTATTGCTGAAAACACTGCAAACATGAACTGTAGAACAAATAAGGAGAAATCAAGCTGGTGCTGACTTCAGAGCCTCATCTCTACTGTCTAGCTTTCATAGTGCTATACAAAGGTGCCATATGAGCACCTTGAAGAGGAAATTTAACATGAATCTTACCCAGCTGTGAATCCTGCCAGCTACAACAACTGACCTGGAAGATATGCCTACTTGTGTAATGGTGTCACAAATATTATAGGAATAATCAACTACTTTCTAATTGGATTTAAGGTCCATTTTATAGGATGGAGCCCATACCTTACATTGATAGCAGGCCTAGAGTCTGAGGATAGACAGCCAACAGGCCATGGGAGAAAACTTAATGCAACTATTGTGCTAAATAAATACAGTATTAAAATGATTTCTAATGACATTGTTATACCCATATATCAATGCATCTCAAAACTCTCAGCAGAGAATCATCCTTATACAACAGATGATGACTGACACAGAAAACCACAACTGGCCAAAGTGTAGAGAATAAGGGTGCAGACTGCTAGCCCTGAATGAAACATCTATGTCAAACATCTGCCTCTCAAGGCTCAGGGATCATTGCAGAAGAGGGAGTGGAAAGATTGTCAGAGCCAGAGTGGGTGAATGACCACAAGAAAACAGAGTTTTCCAGACAGCTGGGCAGTTGCTTATTTACACTCACAACAATGCTGATGACATGGAGATGTCCCACATAAGCTCAAGTCAGATAAAATCCCAACATAGACTTGGGGAAGTGGGTAAAAAAAACCCAACCCTATCTGAGGAACTACTGGCAACCGATGACTACTAGGAAGGGGAGATTCAGTCTCATCTAAGGGTGAGATTCTTGGTAGGTTGACCAGGATCCAGTGGATGGACCCACACTGAAGGGTATGACTCTATAGACCTTCATATTCCATATATATGTGTGTGTATACATATGTGTATATATAGATGTATATAAATTTGATGGGAGGTTAGGAAAAGGGGATGCCAATACAGGAGGGGATCTAAAATTGATCAAAATATATTGTATGAAATTCACAAGCAATTAAAAAAAACTCTTAAAAATGTACATTTAAACAACTGTGTCTGTTATAGAGCTTTTTTGCAATTAGGTTCTCTCAAGCTTTTCATTACTGCTTTTTGTATTGTTTCCTAGCCACACCATTTCCTTATTCCTCAAACAATCATAAGGACATAGTAGACACTTTGTTTTTATTTATCTAAGTCAAGTTCAGCCCTGTCTTCAGTGAGGTCAGGTACCGTTTCCGTCTGTCCGTATCCTTCGTAGATGTCTAAGCCTGTCCTCTTTCTCCATTGTTCTGTTACTTCAGGGTTGATTGGTTCTCCAGCACTCACACAGTGCTTTAAACTTTTGAACTTATAGCTTCTCCAAAAACAGGTAAGAAGTTAGGTTTAAGAGGAAAAATGGCAAGAAATGGAAATTAGGACTATTGACAATACAAAATAAGCAGATCATTCTAATATAATATAACTTCTAAAACAATATCACTTTATTTTTTCTTTTCCCCTGTTTTTGGTGGGGGAATCACTTGCTGCAAAGAAACACCGTGCCATTCTTAGGGAAGGTACCACCATAATATTTTAAACCATCAATTAAATTTTCCTCACATCTGTTAACTGAAGTTCTCTGAAGAAGCCATTTCTATATAGAAGTTCTCACAGACTAACTGAGTGGCAGAACTTCATGACTGAGGTGTGATGGAATACCGTAGATCTAGAGCCAAAAATTATCCTTGGCTATCTTTAGTCCCTTTAACAATCATTTATTGCCAATATCTATGTTTAATGTCTTTTTTTATTTGGTAAAACTTTTGGACTATATTCTTAGACTTGGCAGACCACTAGCATCCACCAATTCTAAAGCTAAGAATAGCATAGCATCTAGAACCTATAGAAGAGATCCCCTCCTTGCTCCCTGCTCCCCTGCAGCCTGCTTACTTGATGTCTCTACTGATATATTTGGAAAATTCGTTGCGTTGTGACTTTCTTTAGTTTTGCAACTATACAAGTTCATGTAATCTCTTCCACAGTGGAACATGCCATTCAGGGTATCCTGAATTCATGTTTCCAGGTCTTGGTCAATTATATTTGGCTCGGAATAAACTATGTCTTATTTCCTCTGGAGAAGAGCTGAACTTTGCAACAGCACATATAGAGTTGTTGAGCACAGTAAAACCATTCTTTTTTTCTTTTCAGAGAACCAACCATCCATTTCAAATGGAATCATTTTAAAACATGAAACCTCTCTTCTGTTCATTGGAATAAGATCCCAAAAGAGGAACAAACTCTCTGCCATCTTAGCTCAGGTAACAACTGTCACCTCAAAGAGTAACTCCCTTTTTATCCATAGCCAATGGATTCAGAGCTCTAGACAGGGCCCAAACATCCCTTTCCTATCCATGTTTGTGGGAACCTGCTCTGGACACAAGAACCATTTACAGTACATCAGCCAGAAGGCAAAGGAGGAAGAAGAGGGGAGTGCTAAACCTGCACCTAGTAGTCAGGAACTCTGGTTTTACGCAGAGTTCTTTTATTTCTACCTTCCTTTTCCTCCTCTTCCCCCCCACTAAATGCCTATTTACCGACATGTCTTACCTGGTCATATCATTCTGTATAAGCATTCGATAGGCAGTTGGCGCAGAACAGAAGACTGTGATGGGAAACTTGGAAAGTGTCTGCAATTTAGAAAAAGAAAATTCTGTTTTGTTTCCTCTTTTTTAAAACTATTTCTTTGAGAATTTCATACAATGTATTTTGATCATATTTACCTCCCCTTGCCCAACTCCTTTTAGGTCCACCTTCCCCTTCCCTACCCACCCAACTCTGTGTCCTTTTTTTTTTTTTTTCATTTGAGTTCAATTTCTGCTACCCACATACTCTGGGTGTGATCATACTCTTAGAGAAAACTGACTCTCCTTCCCCAAAGCTCTTGCTGCAGCTAAAGTATTTCAACCTATGGGAGGCATAGCAGAATGTTTTTGTTAAAAGGTAACAATAATTTTTAAAATTTGTTTTTATTGAATATGCATGTATTTCATGCAGGATAGCTCAAACAATCTTAATCATCTTTATACTCTCGTCCCCACTGGCACCCTCCCATAGCCCTGCCACTGGAACCCATATACTCTGTCATCCGTGTTAAGGCCTGTGTCAAGTCAGTGTCCCCAGGCGTTCCTCAGAGAAAGTCCATCCACTGAGGTCTAGTCATCCTATCGAGAGTCTCTTGTTTTAGGAAGCTCAGCTCTTCCTCACCTAGCAGTCATCAATTGCCAATGTTTCTTCAGCTAAGATTGGGGTCTGCTGTTCATTTCCCCAGTTCTATGGTGGGTTTTTGTCTGCCTGAGATTGCATAGGACTTATGTATGCTGACACCATATGAGCAGGGTCCCAGGAGCTTGTAGGACTCTGTTTCCATATGTTCATGCACCTGCTCCCTGCCTCTTACAGTCTTTCCACCCCCCTCTTCCGAGATGGTCCCTGAGCCCTGGTGGGTGAAACTTAATATAGGAGTCCTGTCCAAGGACCAGCACAGAATGCTTATTTTTATGTAAATGCACTGACACATTTCTCTGTCATTTTAGACTTAGGGATTTTTCATATGTAAAATGTCTTAAATCATGTTTACTCTCATCTCTGTAAGTTGCTTTATTTGCCAGTCCCATCAATGATACTGTAAATGCCAACGCATTCCTAAATGTGAACTTCCTATGTGCTGCCTTACCTGTAAGATAGAAGTTGGCTCAAAACGGGGCAAATAGTGTGCAAATACACATGCTCCTTGAATCCATGGAGAAAAAACACTACTCCATGCAGACTTTGCCCAGCCTGTGTCTGAAGTATTCCACATCACATCTGAGGGTATCAAATCCAGCCAGAACCTGGAAAAATAAATAGCCCTGATATATGTTTGTTAAACTTTTAGGAATTGCATGTGTATAATTGTATGAATAAATTTATGTGTATAAATTAATAAAATGTGAAATTTTAAAAGCTAGTACACAGGCTGGAGAGATGGCTCAGTGGTTAAGAACACTGGTTGTTCTTGCAGAAGACCCAGGTTTGAATCCCAGCACCCATGTGGCAGCTAACAACTGTCCGTAACTCCAGTCCCAGGGGATCCAACAGCCTCTTCTGACTTTTGCGGACATTGCTTGACATGGGTGCACTTACCTATATGCAGGTAATACATGCATATACATAAAATAAAAATAATATTTTTTTTAAAAAAAAAACAGTACACAAACCACTCTGTTTGCAGTTTATACTTTTAGCTGCAATTCTGTGGAAGTACCTTCCATTTACAGATAATCCTAAACCCAAACTGCTGTGGGTGTGTCCAATCATCTTAGGCGGTCCAGTTGTCCCACTAGTAAAGTAGATGGCCATCATCTCATTATGTTTTGTGTTCACACAAGTGTGGTTGTCACTGGCATATCTGCAAAGGAAAATCGACAGTGATTCTGTGTGATTCTACAACCTCTAACAAGGATTTGAAGAACCATCTACTTGGACCTCTTCATCTTATGAATCAGTGACTTGCATTCAGTGGTAAAACTACCTCGCTTTCCATCCTGCTACTTTCCTGAAATGAGCTGTCTCCTTCAAGATCATGCCTCCGTGAGGCCAGCCTACTTCCAGAAACTGATCAGTGCTGGTGAACAGAAGCAGGATCTCTTGCTACAGCTCCGAATAGCTTTGAGAATCTGTCCAAAGCCCAGAGTTCCCATTATGTTGGCTGAGAGGTTCATACGGAATACATAGAAGATTAATTTCTTCCTCTGCTCAATCCTGCATCCCTCCTTTCTTTTGTAGATATTGATTCCAAGAGAACACAATGATCCTCTTGTACATTATTTTCCATTTTCAGGGACTGCTTCTTTGTACTCACAACCTATCCCAGACCCCTTTCTGCCTTAAAACTTACCACTGTTGTTCACCAATCAGTCTCTTTACCTGTTGCTTTAATTTGCCTTACTACTACTGAGTTGAGTACTTTCTGTTATTGTCTTTCTTTGTGGGAAATTATTGTAGAGTTAAGGCTACTCACTTCATCATCTCCTTGAGGTTTCCCCACCCTTCTCTGGAGTGCTGAGACACAATTAGCTTGGAGTGGAGATTTTCACATTTAGGTGCCACAACATCTACTGCTGGGGCTAACACATCATCAGTAATAATGCACTTTGCTTTCGAAGACTGTAGTCTGTAGAGGATGTCTTTCTGGGTCAGTTGAGTGGTTCCTGGAATTAAAACTGTCCCTAAAGGAGTAGAAAAGAAACAGTATTTAGAAGAAAGGTTATCCTCTGTTATGGTAAGATAGTGTGAATAGCACACACACACATTCTGTGTTTCTCAGAATGAGTTAGTGAATTTACTAGGGAAGATAGTTATCTGTCTTTAGTTATTCTGATTTTGCCTTTCTAGAGTTCTCAAAGTCTAAAGCCTTTTCCCTAACAGGAGAGAGTATTACATGTTACAAAATTATCCTATATTTGAAGAACACCTATAACATTGAGCTTGAAAGAGTTTTGATTGAAAAGTTATATTTAGCATTGGTTGTGTGCTTGAGTGCCAGGTACTGTTCTGTTTTGCATATTTTAACTCATTCAGTTCCCATCCAAACATCTCAAAATGTAAAAAGTTATACATGGCCTGTCTAATTCTTCTACATAACAAGTTAACATTGTAGGAATTGAACTCTGCAGCCTGACTCCAGAGCTAGACACTTGACCACTTCAGTCCAGCACCTCTTACAATGCACACGATTGCTTTATTTATATTTTATTTTATTAAAATCTATATTTTATGTGTATGAGTATTTTGCCTGCATGTATGAGTGCACTCATGCAATGCCCATGGAGGTCAGAAGAGGATACTAGATCCCCTGGAACTGTAGTTACAAATGATTGTTAGCCACCATATTGGTGCTGGGAACCAAACCCAGGTCCTCTTTAAGAGCAGTCAGTGCTCTTAAACCACTGAGCCATCTCTCCAGGTTGTTTTATTTTACTGAGGCATGCATCTTTTGTCTGTGGTATGCTACACTGTAAAGTATAGTGTAATGTTAAAAGGGTCCTAGAGCCAAACGCCCATAAACCTTTGTCTTGAATCAGTCCCTTCACCTCTGCGATCCTCAGTTTCTGCTTCTATAAAATTGGTATTATAAAACACAATCCTTGTAGGATTGTTCAAGAATTAAATGAGCTAAAGCATGTAAAGAGTTGAAAATAAAACTCAATACAGGTCCTTTTTATTCAAATAATGAACTTTTAAAGAATATCATTTATTTATTTGTCTACCTACCTAACTGTATATCTACCACCAATCTGTCTTCTGAGCTCCATCACTTTTAGTGCCCAATCCTCAAAAGACAGGTAGATGGTGCTTACTTCTGAATGGTTTTTGCCCTTTCAAGGTGATAAAGTGGGCAAAGAAGTTGGAGAGAATACATGCCCACTATACCAGGACTCTTGACACTGGCTCATTTTTTCACTTTGGAAAGAACTAGTTTTTACATGGTTCTTCAGGCAACAGATTGGACCACAACACAAAGTACTTCAGAAGATCTTTCCTTTTTCTTAATGTAGGGTTTTACTATGTAGACCAGGCACCCTCAAGCTCAGAGATCCACCTGCCTCTGCTGAGTGCTGTGATTAAATGCATGTGCCACCATGCCCAGATATCTTTCCTTTTTAATAAAAGCAATGCAACAATTGTTGAAGATTTTCTTTATGGTTATTCCTTAGAAATGCTGTGCTTACAGATAACAATTAGCCTACTATGGCCATAAATGGGATAATCTCAGCACTACTGAGACCAAAATAGGAGGATCAGGAGTTCAAGGTAGCCTGGGATACATAGTGATTTAAAGACCAGCCTTTGCTACATAATGAGACCCTGGCTCCGACAACAAACAGACAAACAGAACTAGTCTACGTTAACAGAAAGCCTTCTGCCAGCATTTTCTGTCTAAAAGCACTTTACGCATTTACCTTAGATAATTAAATTCTGTCAACACACAATTCACATCATATCCTTAAAATAACCTTCTTATATAATGCATGATCTTAACTATTATAGGAAACATTACTAAGTTTGTTGCCAGGAATGCACAAGCATACTGCTGATCCTATCACCCCAAGATTCAGAGCTCTCCTCTCCACACGTTAGGAGAGCAGCCAGGTACCATCAGCTCATCGTTGTTCTTGTCATCCTCTGAGACCTCCAGTTAGATGGAGTCTTACTTTCTGTCTCAGTGGTTTTCATACTTGAACATGCATCAGAACCTCCTCAGGGCTTGTTAAAACACGAATTTCTGGGCTGCATGCCAGAGTTTTAGATTCGGCTGAGTTGTTGAGTGGGGCTGAAGAATTTTTGTATTGGCTAATTTCCAGTGATACTGATAGTGCTGGTCCACAGTTGCACTTGGAGAACTGTAGTTGAACATTGCTTTCCTTCACTGCCATGAGCCTTTCCTCTTTTGAAAGCATATTAAAACTCATTCTACTTGTCTGTCATTTAATAATTCATTCTCAAACATTTTAAGCTTCCTTAATGAGCTGGCAAGATAGTTCTTTGGGCATTATGGGGATGGACAGATGGATTGGCAGCTAAGATCACCAGCTGCTCTTGCAGAGGACACAGGTTCGGTTCCAGCACCCACTTAGCATCTAACAACCATCTCTAGCTCCAGTTTCAGGGGATCAAATGCCTGATTCTGGCCTCTGTGGGCACTGTACACATGTACTGCACTTAAATCCATGCTGGCAAAACACATAAAATAAAAATAAAAAATTTAGTTGCAAAATACATCACACATGAAAAGGAATATATAAAGAATATATGTATAATTTCTGTTTGAAATTTGCAAATAAGCATTATATGCCGCTTTTTGTAAGAAACTGATGTTTGCAGTCTCCAGTGTACCCTGCCCCTAATTTCTCTCTCTGTGTCACACTCATCCTTAGGCAGCCCTTTTCCAGACTGATATATTAGCCAGGATTTTGCCTTTCTTTACCTTGTTATTATCATATATGTAGTCCTGTAATATATGAGGAACTTCAGTCCTATTCAGTTAGGACTTCAATTTTCAACTAGCTATTTATATTTTTTAAAGATTTTTTAAAAATCTATGTGTGTGTGAGCATGCATATGTGTGTTTGTCTTTGTGAGTGTATGCAAATGTATGTGCAGGGGCCTGCAGGGGCCAGGAGCATTGGATGTCTTGGAGCTGGAGTTACAGGTATTCGTGAGCCACCTACCATGGAGGCTGGGATCCAAACTCTAGCCCTCATGATTGAACATCAAGTGCTCTTAACCACTGAGCCATCTCTCCAGTCTCTAGTTATTTATTTATGAAGTGGGAAATGATGAGGAAAACAAATGACTATGAGTTCATTTCTAATTCTGCCTAACATTCTTAGAACATTGGATTTGCCATTTGTTGCCTCCCTCTCATCCTTCTAAGAGAATTTGCTTTCTTTCTGTCAAGAGCCCCAGGAACCATGATAGAATCAGGTAAAGTGGCCTCTGACCTCATCTGACTGGCTTATCCTAAGTTGTAGCCATCAAATTCTGCCTCCAACACTTACGATACTAATGATTTCAAAGCAAAACAAACAGAAGAGGCCACTCCTAGAGTCTGTTCATTTCTCAAATCCATTTGTTCCTTCTATTTTGTTTTCCCTTGTAAGATTTTCCAGTAGCCATTTAATCGTACCCCATATTGTACTAATTGTGGATATCTGGTCCTAGAAGTTAAACAGTCACCTAAGAAAGTGAGTTTAAGCAATACTCACAAAAGCAATCATTTTGCAAAAAAACTGTTTGATAACAGGCTCTCTTTCTCCAGGATATAATTCATATATATATATGAAATACATTAATGCCTCTCTAGTGGAAGAATCGTCATTTAATACAATAATATATTATGATAATAGGAACATTAATTCAACAAATACTTTACTGAACATTTACTATATAACAACCACTGCGGGTGCAGGGATATGCTATAGTAACGGCCTTTCAGAAGCATATATAGCCTTCTGGGAATGACAGATTGTGGGCAAACTGTATCCCAAAAAGTTTAAATAGAAATACATATTACTTTAGGGAGTTTAAAGAAGACAATATCTAGGTTGACACATCCAGGGCGTGGTGATCTGAGAAGGTAGCACTAAACTGAGACTTGAAACTTCGGTAAGAGTTGCCTATATACTTTAATTTGAGAGGAAGGCTTTCCAAGCACAGGAAACAGTATGCAGAAAAGTGAGGAGATGGGAATGATCACAGACATCACCTGAAACCATTTGCCATCATGAGATCATGAAGTAGCATGGTGGAGAAATTAGAGCAATGATGGGGAAATAGCTGTAACCTTCCCGGATGCACCTGAAGACCTTTAGAGCTTAAATGGTAACCAGTAGAAACTCAATAATTGCTGTCAAACAGCACAATGTACCCAAATCAGTGCCTCAAGATTACTTAGATATGTGGATAAGTCTCTCACCTAGCTTGTTTAAATGTGATTAGGAGTATAAACAACACTAACCTGTTCGCAGGCAGGCCACATTTGCAAGCCACCACTCTGGGATCTTGGGCAGAATCACAATTACTCTATCTCCCTTTTGTAGGGAACAGGCTTCTGTAAGTATGTTGGCAAATTTCCTAGATAAAGATCCCAGTTCCTCAAAACTCCACTTCACCTCTTCTCCACTTCCATTTATCCACCAGAAGGCTGGATTGGAAAGTCTTTTTCCAGCCTGAGAAAAGCACATCAGTCATGGATTTAGAGGTTGTCACACAGTTAAATTATTTTTCAGCTGACTTAATGGTATATACTTTCTGCAGAAAACTCACAAGTCAGTTATTAGTCAGGACTTACATGGAGAAAGTGGTAATAATTCAGGGGTCCTTATTCCTGGATGTTGGGAGCCATGTCAGTTCTGGCCCAGCTCTTTTCTCATTTATCCTGATTATTGTTCTAAGTTAGAATTCTTCTATCCCTCTGTTCCCTTGGGGGTGTGTCTTGTAATTTTTGACCCTTGGAGTCACTTTTAACATAATTTATGTAACCTAGGCTTTCTCAATCAGCCATGATTATGACATTAGGGGCCAGAAAAGTCCATGTTCTGAGGGCTGACCTTTACTTGATGGAACTTTGAGCACCAGCCCTGGCCTCCGTCCATTAGATGCCAGTAGCGACTGCTGTCTTCCACTACTCGTCCCTTCATGGCAACAAAAATCTCCCCACACATTGCTAAATATCCCCAGAGGCAGAAATTGCTTCAGGATGAGACATTGTAGTCTGACTGGCCCTTGCTCCATACCTTTTCCGTGTTGGTCCATTGGTCCAGAACATCTTTAGCAAAGTTGAAATACTCTGGAACCTCTAATCTGAAATCCTGTTTCATGGACTCATAGCTGGAAAAATTCTGAGGGGTCACTGTTCTATAATCTTTATAGATGATTCTCACAGGACCAGGAATTGCTAGGCGCTGAAAACACCTGGCATGAAGTAATATCTCCATAGTGACAAGAGCTAGCTTACATCAGTCTTGTTGGGTGTTTTAGCACTTTAGATTTCCATGGAGACTAATCCATCTAAAAGACAAACAGAAAGGACATGTATTTGTCTTTTTTGGAAAGTAATCATACCCCAAAGCAGGTAATTTTTATCATAATGGTTCATCATCATCCACAACCACTATTTTCTGAGAATACTTGGGTGCCAAACACTTTGATATTTTATATACTCTTTGTCACTAAATTCTTAGACAAACCCTGTAAAGCAAATACTATTATCTATATCTACACATAGAGAAAATGACTAGCAAGAGGCATTGGCTGGGTTTGAATCCAGATCCATCTACGCCCAGAACATTCTCCTGATTACCCTACACTACTGCTTTCTACATGCATTTCTCAATGTCCAGAAAACCTGAGTTACCCATTTTTATCACACTCTCGATGGAAGTATAGCTTCAGATCTAATGTTTGTCACTCACAGATTTAAAAAGACTTATAGACATGCCACAGATTAGCTACAGATGAAGAAACTGAAAACAGCCGAGTACCAATTAGGCATGAAAGCACTTTCAAAGTTTATAGTCTGCCTAGTTTATAGGCTGCAGTTCCCATGCTCCCAATAAGAGCCTACGCTACCATCGAGTCCAGGCTTGGAGATGTAATAACAGGGCTTCAACCTTCAGGGATTCTGTGGGGGAGATCCCTCCCAGCCCCCAACCCTTCTTGCTTCTGTGAGAAATCATTTGATCACAATGTCATTTACTTGGCTGAGGCTATTTAAAATACGCTTCTAGGCTTCTAGGCATTGTGACACTTTTGAGTCTCTCCTCTTTATACTTCTTGTAATTTTCCTACAGTGAAACATACACTACTCTCATAATCATGAAATCATAGTTTTAACTGCAATTCTAGCTGTATGATAAGGTAGCCTGGCTAGGAGTGATTATTTCTGTGTTAATATATTGCCAAAACAATACAAAATACCAGATATCAGTCAAGTTCTAATTTAAATGGACCTGGGAGTTGGGCGTTATGTTGATAGACTGGATACATTTGAAACCTGGGTACTTCTGATGCCTCACCTTTATGTGCAAGAACCTGACAAGTCACTGATCCCTCTGAGATCACTCAGCTTGAGCCTCCTTGTTTTTTACTGCAAAGAAAATAAACCTCAAACAGAGAATGCAATAGGTTTTACCCTCTTACATTAGAATTTGAATTAGAATGCTGGTCTTTTATACTCGTTTGAGTTGTTTTACTTTGGGTCAATAGGACTGCAACAGATCAGTGATTCTCTATCCTGTTTATGTGTTTGAATAACTGGGAAAGATCTCATTAAAACTTTAATAAAGATGATTAAGATTGACTGAGATGTTCTGTATGAAATACACAAGAATTCAATTAAAAATTGAAAAAAACCTTTAATGCCTGGGGCATTGGCCAATTAAATCAGCATCTTTGGGAGTGGGATCTATGTACAATATTTTTTTTTAATTTCCTCAGATTTTTGTGTGTTAATTTTGTAGCCTGCTCTTTTGCTGAATGTGCTTATCAGCTCTAGGAGTTTTTCTGGTGGAATCTTTAGGGTCTTTTATACGTAGAATCATATCATCTGCAAGTAAGGATACAGTGACTTTTCCCTTCCAATTTGTGTCCCCTCTGTCCCCTCCACTTTCTTGCTGCTCTAGCTAAGTCTTCAAGCACCGTATTGAACAGGAATGGAATAAACACCCTTCTCTTGTTCCTAATTTTTTTACTAAAGTTTCTTTCCTGACAGGAACTAACAGGTAACTGGCATTGCCTCTAGATCCACGATCCATTCTCTACAAACCTCCCCGTCCCATGCATTTATTGTGCCCATAGGGATAATTTGGTTAAAAAAAACAAAGGCAAACAAACAAATCCCATGCATTCTTTAGGCTTGGCATATCATTTACTTATTATCGCTCATTTCCAAAACTAATTTCCAAAATATATTTGAACCACAGAGGTCCCAGCCCTGACTGAGGAACTATTGGCAATTGATAGGTGCTGCGCAAGGAAGAGTCAGTTTCCTGTGATGCTGGGTAGGTGCCACGGTATGAACTATACCCCAGGACATTTGGAGAACATTAATTGAATTAAAAAATAGAGGACATGAAATGAGGGGCAGGCAGGGAAGTGGGAATGTGTCTGAAACAATGATGCTGGTAGGGGGTTCTGAAGGATGGGGTCTGAATATGATCAAAATTAGTGTATGAAGCTCTCAAAGAATCAATAAAAATGTTTTTTAAATTTCCTGAGAATTGTAATGCATAACCCTAGTTGAGAATCAGTCATCCAGAGGCTGGGATCTGTGATCACTTGAAACTGTCAGAAATGCTAGTCTTGAGACCACACTGCAGACTTATTGAATCAGTGGATTGTAGTATTTTAACAAGATTCCCCAGGTGACTAGGGGACTTGTATGTTCAAGAAGTACTGGTCTATAGTATTCTAGCTAAGTCCATTGGCTATTGAGTCATACAGTCATGGAATAAGGTCCTTTTTGCACTTGTTAACTGTGGCCATATTTGAATTATTAACAACTCCGAATTTCAGCTTTACATTTTTATCAGTAAAGAGACTAATAGAACCTCTGAGAGTTGCATCAAAGACTGAATGTGATAATGCAAAATAACCATGCATTATGCATCATGGTGCCTAGCCCACTACTTTTCACTAGAACAGGGGTTGGTAAATGTTGTAAAGCCAAGATAGTAAGTATTTGGGATATTATGGATCATATTGTCTCTGTTGTGCTACTTGACTCTGCAATAGATGCTGATAATAGATGTAATGGAGGTTGATAAATGGGTATGGTTGAATTCTCCCCAAAACATTACTGATGAATATTGGAAGTTGAATGTAATGTAATTTTCATGCATTACTAATTATTGTTCTGTTTCCTCCCAAACACTTAAAAATGTGAAAACCATTTTTAGTTCACAAGCTATTAAGAAACAGGCAGTGGACTGGATTAGCACATGGGCTGTTGTTGGCTGATGGCACCAGACTGTAGATTGTATGAGAGCAGAGGCCTTGCCTGTCATGCTCATGCTTCTGTTCCCATCAGTCATATCACAGTGACTTATAGAAGGTGCTTAAGAAATATCTGTTGACTAAATAAGTGACTTTTCCTAGAAGGGAGAATATTTAGCTGCAGTTTATTTCAATAACTCAGGATGGTGGTAGACCTAAGAGGGGCCTTTGCTGCTTTAACCAGAGTTATAGAATTACCTGCACCATCCACATGAGGTAGTTTATTCAGCTGATTTAAATACTATTTAAAATTCAATTCATTGGTCACACTAGTTGTGTGTACTTAATAGCCACATGTGGCAAGGGGCTACCAGCTACTGGTCAGAACAGACATACCATTTCTGCTGTAGGAAATTCTTTTGGACTGTGCTGCTTTGTGTCACTAGCAGCTCAGAACTGGACTCACACATAGCATCAAAATACAGGAAGGCTGAGGAGGAATTTTCCCAAGGTAAGATTTTTTTTACAGGTCCAGGTTTGATAAAGTGTTTCCTATCACTGTTCCTTTTCCTAAAGGTTGTGGAGAAAAAGCATTAACAGAAATATCAGGCTGTAAGGAGACAATCCTGCTCTTTAGAACAGAAACAAAGTCTTTCTGAGGACCAGTTTCCCCAGGGTTAAGTCTTCAGGTCTTCAAACATCATTCTGTTTGGTATCAGGGACTAGAGAGAGAGAGAAAGAGAGCGTGAGAGAGAGACATTGGCCTGCCTGCCAGCAAGTAACTACCTGCCCATTTGGCTGTAATCCATCTTCTAAACAGAATTAGAATGAAGCTTCTTTCAATTTTGCCCTTTTTTCAGACTCAAGGACTGAAAGTTTCAACTAATGAAACATTGTTTTTAGAAGTAGACTTGTCTTGGTTTTTAATTTTTGGTACAATGTCTTCAAATGATTCAAAATCTATAAAAGAAAAATGTCCTCACTGTGTTTTGAAGTTTCCCCATTTCATCCCACTCATTTCTCCTGGGAGCCACTGTTTTTTCTATGTGTTCTCAGGGGTTCTTTGTATGCATTCAAGCAAATATGACTGTAGACATTTCTTTTTTTTAAGATTTACTTTTATTTTCACTGTGTGTGTGGATGCATACATATGTGTGCAGGTGCCTGTGTTGGCCGGAAGAGGGTCTCAGATCCTTTGTATCTGGAGTTATAGGCATTTGGTGAGGCATGGGATGTGGGTGCTGGGGTTCAGTCTCTGGATCTTATGATAGATCAACAACCATTCTTAACCCCTGAGCCATCTCTCCAGCCCTATAAATATTTCTTATTTCAACACCAGTTTTACACATCAAGTAGCCTAAAACGCACACTATTTTGTCTATTCAGAACTTTGTGATAATGTAGTTTTGGAGGCTTTTTACTATTAGTGCATAAAGCTCTTCAGCCTGCCTTTAAAAAAAATAGCTGTATCATAGTGAACAATTGCCCGTTATTTCTTTAATCTAGTCCTCTATCAATGATCACTTGAATCATCTCTATTATTTTGCAATTTAGATAAAAACTGAAACCATTTTCTCTAAAAGAAATGCCCCAAGCCTTTCTCCTAATACAAAAATTATTTTTAAAATAGTTAAGAAGTATAATAAACATTTTCTGATCCCACTGAAATAAAGGGTAAGAATTTGGACTGGTTAGGGCAAATATCTTGGGGCACCTTCTTTGTAAATTCATTTATTTACTCAACAAATATTGACTGGATGCCTGAAATGCTACAGATATAAACAATGTATTGGGGAATGAAAAAGACAAGGTCCCCCCACTGTCATAGACAGACACATATAAATGACACAAAAAATAAATGAGTTGTTATACTAAAAAAAGCAACAAAATGAGAGAGAAGAAAGGCAATTTTAGAAGGTATTTTGAGGGACACACCATTTTTGATGACAGTTGGCGCTGCACTAAGCATTTTGCACTGATTGCAACATGTTAAAGACAAACATACTCAAGCTCACATGTACCCAAACTGAACTATATGCGCATTCATCCACCAGATACTTGTTAAATATTTGCCATGTGACAGACCAATAGCAAACGCTGAAAATACAGCTGTGATCATGGCAGGGCTAGTCTCCCCGCAAGAGGTTTACAGACTATTAAACAACTATGCAAATGTTTATACTGGGGATAAATGCAATGTACTCATCTTGCAAATCTGAGAACGATCAGATTTCGGTATGATTTCTCCCCTGTCTCCTATGTAAAACTCTGCATTCAGAATCTTTCAAACATACAGTGGTGTAGCTGGTAAGGTGCTCATGTTCCAATAAATCACCACCCACCCATGCCATGCAAGCAACCCTAATTAAACTCAGTAGCTCACAAAGAGCATGAAATTAAATGGGGGACTTTGGAAGAAGGGCTTCAGTACAAGCAGAAGGATGAGAGGGTACTGAGGTCAATACGATACATTTTTAAAGAGCTTATCTCAACTGAACATTAAAAATTAAAAAATGCATATTACAAAAGAAAATTGACTAGTTACTTGAAACTTAAAATAAACTTAAGCACTTTTCAAGTCAAACCCAAAATATCAATACTACTTTCATCAAAGCCGTGATATTTCTTTTTCCCCCAACAAAGCTCAATCAGTTCCTGTCTTTCCAATGAGTTTCTGTTCTACAATTTCATGCTTCACATTTGTAGAACTCTTTGTAGATGAAAGAAAAGATAACTTCTTCATGGTAAACTTTGATTTTTTACACCAAGTCACAGAACTATTTAGAAAAATTTTTATAAGAAAAAGAACCACTGGCTGGCTGCGAGGGGTGGGGGGTATTGAAACTATCTACGGTCTCACCTGAAATGCAAGCTTTAGATCCATATAAATGGCAGTGCCAAAGAATATTTAGCCTCCCCACATCTCCATAACACCCCTCCCCCCCTAGGTAGCCTGAGTAAGGACAGTAGTTTGGCACATATACAGCCTCAAAGCAAGATAAAACCCCTACCATCAGGAATTGGGTAGGCAGTTAGGGTAAAAAGACTCCAAAGAAAAGTAGCCAGTTTCTTAGCTAAAAGTCAAAATGACCTTGGGCTTTTAGCAACATACTCTATTCCAAAGGTCAAAAATATCAAAAGTCTAATCCTTTAAAAGATTTTAGGGTTACTGCTTCAGAGGGGGGGAATGTTAGAGTAGCAAAAAGCTCCATTTAAAAAGAGGAAAGAAAGAAAGAAAGAAAGAAAGAAAGAAAGAAAGAAAGAAAGAGAAAGAAAGAAAGACAAAGAAAGGAAGGAAAGAAGGGAGGGAGGAGAAAGAAGAAGAAGAAGAAGAAGAAGGAGAAGGAGGAGAGGAAAGAAAGAACACTAAGTTGTCAGAAAAATGTGCTGGGGAGATATTGGAGGTGTTGGGGGGGAGGGAGTGGGCATGGATTTGGTCAAAACACCTTAGATTCATGTATGAAATTCACAAGTTTTTTTTAACCCTACCATCTTCTCAACCACAAGACCCTGCCTTAACCCTCTCCTATACACAACCTAGATAGAGCTCTTGTCCTTGGAGAGAACTGATTTTCTTAGATTTTTCATTTGTATGTTTCCCAAAGATAGTTTCTTAGCTGCAGCTTTCATATTTTTGGATATGTAGATGAATTTCCATCTGCCACTGAGCAAGGTACAACTGAGCGGAGTACAATGAAAAACTCAGCCCCTACTCACTCAAGTTTTTTCTAAAACTTTTTAATCATATAAACACATGCGCATAGTATCAAAAATTCATAGTACCAAAAAGCTTAACATAAATACTTAGCTGGTGTCCTTGCAGCCTCCTAAGTGTGGTTACTCCTCATCACTGATGAAATGGTGTATCATATAACAGCTAAGAAATTCTGAGAGAAACACCTTTGCTGCTCATGACTTTAACAAGAACATTTTCTGGATTCAATGCTTTTGTTTGCCAGATATATATAAAGCAAGCCTGTACCGTTGCAGCAAATCTTACATAGGAGGGAAAATGGGATACTCACTAAAGATACAGCGCCCCACACAGCTGGAGGTGATAGTAGACCTGCTTCATAGAAGAGCAGCCTTGGAACTCGATTTCTTAGCTCTGCTCTAGTCTTGGTAGAAGTGCAAGGTAGAAGTAGTTTGGCCATCAGAGAGAGCAGGACTGGCCCTGTGTGCCTTTCCTTGATTGGCAGAGACATTCTGGAGGGAGGAGCATGTTCACTGAAAGTTTATATAATCCTTTCCAGTCCTTCTTAACAGGTCATGATTTAAGTACACAGCAAGCTTTCAGTAGGCTGGACAAGCCGTTTGTTCACAAGAGGAACTGTTCAAAGAGTTGCTGAAAAGGGAGCAGTGCTTGGAGGCTCACACTTAGAATCCTAGCACTTGGGAGGTGGTGGTAGGATGATCAGGAGTTCAGGGTCATTTTCAGTTACATAGTGAGTTTGAGGTCAGGCTGAGCTACATGCGACCCTGCCTTAAGGAGGAAAAAAAGGCATTGAAAGGGCTAGTCCTGTGAATAGGAAAGGAAGTTCTCAGAAGGGAGAAAAAAACAAGTGGTCTGTGCTTCAGTTCCTGCCTCCAGGTTCCTGCCTTGAGTTCCTGCCTTGGCTTCCCTGATGATGGGCTTGTGACCTGTAAGCCAAATAAACCCTTTTCCCCTAAAGTTGGTTTAGGGTATTGTTTTATCACAGCAACAGAAAACAAACTAAGACAACATGTTACATAAGGCAGGTTACATTAATTAATTTTCTTTGTGTGTATGTGTATGTACTGATATCTGTGTATGTTCGTGTATGTATACACATGTCTGTGGGTGCGCATGCACATGTGTGGGTGTACATGTAGAGGCCAGAAATCAACCTTGGATGTTGTTCTTCAGAGACTGGTCACCTTATTTAATGATGGGGTCTCTCACCAGCCTGGGGCTTGCCAATTAGGCTATGCCAGCTGACCAGGAAATTCCAGGGACCTGTCTTGTCTCTGTCTCCTCAGTGCTGGGTTTACAAGGGTATGCCACCATGCCCAGCTTTTTATGTGGCTGGTGGTGATTGAACTCAGGTACTCATGCTTGCTTGGCAAGCACTACCAAGTGAGCCATCTCCCCAACTTCTCCCCCATTTATTGATTTTTTTTCTAATATCAAGTCAACTTGGCTTCCCTAGAATAAGCTACTTTTTAAAAATATTTTATTTATTATTTTAATTTTATTTTATGTGTATGACTGTATTGCCTGCATGTAAGTCAACCCATATCATGCAGTGCCCACAGAGGTCAGAAGAGAGCATTGGATCCCATGGAACTGCAGTTACAGATGGTTGTTAGCCACCGTGTGGATGCTGGGAATTGAACCCAGGTCCTCTGTAAGAGCAACCAGTGCTCTTAATTGCTGAGCCATCTCTCCAGCCCCTGAATAAGCTACTTTATATTGCTGAATTCTATTAGTTTATGTCTAAGTTTTCATGCAGTATTTCTAGGAGTGAGTATTCATCCTCTTGCTCAGATCTTATGTGATACTCCTGTAGGTCCTTAAGGCTTTCTACACTAACCATCTTGGATTCTTTCTTTTGTTCAAATGAAGCAACATTATTCTGTTTTCCAGGTCAATGACTTTTTTCTTCCGTTCTTTTTATGCTGATGTTGAGCCCATCATAAGATATAGGAAAAAATCCAAACTACTTTTCCTACTCTTACATACCGTCTAACATGATACTTCTGGCACTAGATATATGGAATCTTTCCCCACCAAACAATTCTCTAGCACACACCAGCTAAGTGACTTACTTCTACTTCTTTACTAACTATGGAGAGATAGTGTCAGATCTGATAGGTGAAGGGCTTTGTCCCATAAAATTGACCTCTACTTTACCTGTCTCAGATTGCAACCTGTTTTTCTGGCCAGGTTGAGGTTCCTATGACTCACTCCTTGGGAGTGCTTAATTTTTTGAAATCACTTACAGAGCCAAAGGAATCACTTTTCTTAATCCACCTATTTATTATTGCAAAGGATATCAATGAACACTAAATGGAAGAGATACATGGAGTGAGATCTGGGAGAAGGGGTACAGCACTTCAGCTACTCTCTGCTGTGCACTGTCCAATCAAAAATCCTTCATGTGTAGCTCTTTGGAAGCTTCTTATGGGAGGACTTCTGTGGAGGACTTGTTATGTAACATGATTGATTAAATCACAGGTCCATAGCGATCACTCAACTCCCAATTCCTCTTTCCCCCCAGAAAGTGGAAACAGGATGTGGGTTGGGAGGGGATAGACTGAAAGTTTCTACCTCTAATCATATAGTTGGTTCCTTTGGCCATGAGTCATCATCCTGAGGTTATCCCATAGGCCCTATCAGCCATATTTTTAGCATATAAAAGGCACTTATCACTTAAGAGAATCTAAAAGCTTTGGGATTATGTACCTGGAAACAGGAATGATGACAAAATATATCCACAATATCATACCCACCCACTAAGCTTTCTAGTTATTTGACATTTTCTTCTAAAATTGTCATTTGCTCCATTTATATTTCTTTTTCTGAGACCTTAAAAATTGTTTCAAAGGTATTTATTTCAAAGGTATTTCAAAGGTATTTGTAGATGCCTTTTTACAATGGCATCTTTAAAAACTGTCAAATCATTCTAACATCGTTTTCATCTTGCTGGTAGCTTCTAATAACTGAAAATTCTTCAGCTTGAGACTTCCCTGGTTCTTGGAACGAAGGATAACTTTGAAGTGAAATGTGGACATTTTTCTATTACGTTATAAGATCTGGATCTTACATGGACATGTTTTAGCTGGCTTTGTTGATACTCCTGTGGCAGAGGAATGAGGCATGGCAAAGCCTCATGATTGCTGAGTGAACATATAAAATCTAGGTTCTCAGCTGTCTTTGACAACTGTGTTGGGGTAGGAGTTCTAGTTCTTTCTGAATAACCTGGTTTCTGGTGTTCTGTTATTACAACAGAAATTGGACTAACACACAGATAGAACATAAAGGAAAAGGAAAGGAACATAAAGAAAAATCTGGACAGGGCTTGTTAGTTCCCTTTAGTCTCTATTTTAAATATTGTATTTAGTATTTTAATTTTATATGTATGAGTGTATTGCCTGCACCTATGTAAGTGCACCTGTGTCATGAAATGCCCACAGAGGTTAGAAGAGAGCATTGAATTCCCCTGGAACTGGAGTTATGAGTTATGGATGGTTGCTATGTGGGTGCCGGGAATCGAACCCAGGTCCTCTGGAAGAGCAACCAGTGTGTATGAGTGTATTGCCTGCACCTATGTAAGTGCACCTGTGTCATGAAATGCCCACAGAGGTTAGAAGAGAGCATTGAATTCCCCTGGAACTGGAGTTACAAATGGCTGTTAGCCGGCATGTGGGTGCTGAGAATCAAACCCAGGTCCTCTGCAAGAGCAGCTAGTGCTCTTAACTGCTTAGCCATCTCTCTAGCCTCCCTTCAGTCTCTTATCATCAGATCATACCCCTGTGTTTTGTCACATTCTTCTTTGACTAGCCTCCTTCTCACCAAATCTAAGAATAAGAATACACAAGTGTACTTGTTTTCTGGGGTCTTTATTTCCAAAGGCTCTTGTGTCAGGTAAAACTCATATTAAGCTTGTATGCCCTTTTCTTGTTAAGTCTCTCTTTAAGAGGCCTTAGCTACAAAACTTGTTATAGCTATGGAAAGATCCTTTATTCCCCTTCCTTACATTACCTATTAATTTTTTATTGCAATATTAGAAGCATTTAGTGGTGAAATTACTTAGTCAAGAAGGAGTCAATGGTCACCTTTGCGCTGTTAGTTAATACTATGCTAAAGGTACCTGGAAGCCCATTGCAGGCTAACTAGAATGTATATTACCTGTCTTGCTCATTACTGAATTCTAGGTAGATAGAGTAGGGCACTATCTCTACACTTTATAAGAAATCAGTAAATACTTGTTAAATGAATAAGCAAAGAAGTCATATCTGTGAAAATGATCTACTGAAAAGGGGTAAATAATAAGAACATTTACACATAAATAATTCATATTTGTTATGAAAGCAACTTAGAAGGACATAATGAATTATTGAGGAAAGAAAGACCAAAATGGAGTAGCACTGGCTGGAGGCACTTGAAACAGGGTTAACAGACTTTTGTTAATCAGATCTTAGATACGTTTTCAGCTGAGACTTTGAACTTGGAGTAGTTACATGTTGATCTTTGGACTGGACCAAATTATAACCCACTGGCTTTCCTTTCATTTGTGAATCATTTGTGAATGTCCTCAATACATCCGTATCCTGTCCATCTTCACCCCAATCCAACTAAGCCCTACTTATTTCCTCTAAATTATCTGCAGGTTGAAACAACACCCAACCCTTTTCTTGTAAGAGAGCTTAACTTGTGTGTGTGTGTGTGTGTGTGTGTGTGTGTGTGTGTGTGTGTGTGTGTGCATATGTGTGGTGTAAGCGATGTGTACATGTTTGTGTGTGGGAACACGTATGTGCATGCATGCATGGAAGCCAGAGGTCCATGTTAGGTGTCTTCCTCCATTGCTCTCCATCTTTTTTTTTTTTTTTTTGAGACAGAGTCTCTTACTGAACTGGGAACTCACAGATTCAGCTAGAATGGCTACCCAGCAAGTCCCAGGGACTCTCCTGTCTACCCCAGTGGTAGAGTTACAAGCATGAGCCACTGCCCAGCTTTTTACATGAATGTTGGAGATGCAAACACAGGTTTTCATACTTATGCAGAAAGCACTTCACTCCTTGAGCCATGTCTCAAGTCCTATTTGGTTTCGGTCCTTGAAGCACTGTTCAAAGCTAAGCCCACAGGTCTTGAGAGTGTCCTCCCCTTGAACTAAAGCTGAACTACAGGTCTCCACTGAAGAATTCTTTGTGTGTGTCACAGGCCTAGTAGAGTAGTAGAGTTTGCTAAAGAATTGATTTTAGGGACTGGAGAGATGGTTCAGTGGTTAAAAGTGTTTGCTCCTCTTGCAGAGACTAGAGTTTAGTTCTCAGAACCCACATTGGGCGTACTGCAACTACTCTAGCACCAGTGGATCCCTCTTCTGGCTTCTGTAGGCACCCCCCCCAAGACACAGACACAGACACACACACACACACACACACACACACACAC